GGACCTGAACATTTTAAGATTCTGGTTGATCATTTTAAGCCAGATGAGGTGACAACAAAATCTTTTGACGATATCGTAAATGAACGTAAATTCAGACTTTAAACGATGAAGTCGGTTTTGAGAACTTCTTGAACGTAACGACAGAAATAATATATTCAAACAAGGTAAATACAATAACACTGTGATATTGAACATGGAAAAAGACTGTTTATCATGTTGAAAATCACGCCACAATTACGTTGCATAACAACGGGACATGCTCGAATACAAAACCAGAGAAAGAATACATGACATATATAGTCGAAGTAAGTGATATAGTAATCTTAAAGGTGTCGGCGAAGTCAAAGGCCAAAAAAACCAATACAAAGGAATTATGCCGCAACGAATTAGTCCACGTGGACTGAAGAATTGGCGGTTCGTATTGGATAATTTTTACTAACCGAGCTTTATGATTGGCTGAAGAGTCATAAAATTAAATTTGAAGTCATGTTACGGTGACCAACTGAATGTAGCGATGAGTAAGTACCGCGTTGTGTGTGTTATTAAAGAGGAACTGCTGGAATGTAGGGGGCACTATATCTTTAACTTGAACTATACTAACTGTAAAAGCGGTGAATGCAATGAGACTAACGCCATCTATGTGTTAGGCCCGAGACTGACGTTGCAATTGTAACACCAGATGTCGCCTACATCGTGGTCCTCTCGATTGTCACTTCGTGCGGATTCGTCACGTTCCTAACCTCCAATTATACGTCAATTCGTCACTTGTACCTGTCAAAACTTTGCCGAGTGTTTTGTATGCAAATCAACTTGAAATTTTGTCTTGTAGAAGAAACAACGGATCCACCGGAAGGAAAACTCCTCGTTCCGATTTCAGTAAGTACGAGCAGTGCTGGGGACCTGTAAAAATGAGGAGGTGAGGAAAATTTCGTGAAGTATGAGCGGAGCCGCTTCGTCGGGGCTAATCCAACAGCCGAATGTGCTCCACGTGAAGGTGCAGAGATTAACATGTAGAGACAACGTACCGTCAGTCCATGGCAGACCCAACGCCTCTTCCCTCAATGTCAAGACCAGATTGAGCAATCACCAAAGGAATCTCAGTCTCGATTTCAGGTGAGTTCTAGATAATAAATTTGATGTTTTTTGTAATGCAGAACGGCAAATTTTCCGAAATTGGAGATGCAGATGCAGGAAGCGATGTTTTGTATCGGTAATTCATGAACTGGTGAATTCATATTTACACTAAGTTTGCTTATATAATAATACAAATAACAATTTATTTTCCCAAGAAACATACAATCTTTATAGCAAGAAAAAAGTACCTATAACATAAATCACGAACAGAGCAAACAAAAAAATAAATAAATCAGAACTGAAACTTAAAAATATAAATATACATACATTTACACACATTTAGATTATTATCAACATGAACATAAATGTACTCATCAGATAATATATCTATACAAACAATAAATATTTTTT